GATGCAATATAAGTATTGAATAACCCAATATCATTAAGTAGGGAGACGATACAAGAACTCTGACAGGAAATCTTCATCACTGAACTATAAACTTGACTTTGACAAGACTCCTAGGGCCCATAACTGAGAAGCTGCTGTAGATTCAATATCTAAGTAGCTCAGCACATTCTTATCTGAAAGACAGAAAATTGGCACTAATTAAACACGAGCTTGAGTTTATTACCATATATATTGACAATACATTTTTTTTTTACTAAGAACTGGTACACTTGCCATATCAGTCCATTGGCAACAGGCACATGCACATTCCATTTATGTTCAGTTTGTACACAGTTGGCTCCAGAAGTGTTCAGACATCAAGGAGTCAATTAGTAGGCCTATGTGACCAAATCTGATTTCCCTAAACCTTTATATATTCTATTATGCTATTAATATATGATTTTGTTCGTATTATTATTGCCATCATGATCAGTATGATATTATTATTATTGTTATTATTATTATCATTATTATTATTATAAATAAAAAACTGAGATAGGTATAATTAGTAATTGACTCTTTGGTGACCAAGCACTTAGACCATCTATGTGCTATCAGTGACCAAGCACTTAGACCACCTATGTGTTAGCAAGATCAATAAACAAGAATCACAATGGGCATGGCATGTACGTATTGTCATCTTGTATAGGTGTTAAAATAAATTATTTTGTAATAAATTTAAATCTCCTTTTATATTTCTAAAAAGAGGCTATCCAAAAATATATTGCTCTACAATTAACTTTCATTAATATCTTCTTAAACATTCTTATGCATATGAATAACACTTCCATTACCTCCTGAAATTATATACTCTTCTATTATTCTTGCTATTGCAGGGGCAGGCACAGCCAAATTGATGTGAGGAAAAGAAGCTTTGTTTTTTGTGTCTTGGGTATTGCACACCACTATACCAACAACCTGGAAACCTTTGGAAAAGAAATAGAAGTTAATGTTAGGAAAGCTAAATAAAATAAAAATTTCTGAAACAATAAAATCAAATATTACACATCTACTTCTATTGATACTTCATATTTCAATATAACATTCGCATTTCTCACCATGTTGTGGGTGGAGTGCAATAACAGGGCCACCACTTGTTCCCGCATATACAGCACATGTTGTCTGCATCATCAGTGGTATCATCTGATCATTTTTCATACATACTGTCCAATAGTCAGCAAAGGAATCAATACTGTGCTTTTTGCTGTCTTCTCTACCACAATGCAGTTCTATGTTTTGGGATGATTGACTGAAAAATCCATCTTTGATTTTACAACTATCTGTGCAATCTTCGCTAACTTTGCTAATCATTAAAGTATTTGTTTCTTCAGAAAGGCTGGAATGCTCCACTGCAAAGCTCTGATGTTCACTCAGATGAAGAGACTGAACAGGGAAGTTTATAGTTTTTGAAATTATTCCTCGAGACAGAGTTGGTGTTGGCAGATACCGAGGGGAGAATACTCCATATCCTGCAACCACAACAGGCCAACCTGTAATGAAAGAAAAATCAAACATGAGATGACTCATGAAATATAATAAGTTAATCACCTAATGATAGTCATGTGTAAGTCAGCATGTCAAACATTAATATCACCTCATCATGAACTCTAACTGTTGCATTCCTTTACATTTAAGTGTTCTAACAAGATTTTGGATATTAATTTTCCTGCCTATTGTGATGTATTATTATTACTGTTACTCATTACTGAAAACTGAGCAAAAATTGTTCCTAACCTTTTGGATGTATTTCTGTAGCTAATGGTAAGGAGGATGGTAGAGACTTGGCAGTCGCAATAATGGCCAGATCCCACACACTCTTCCCCTGCCTGCATGTCCCTGTATTTTGTGTGGTCAAGGTAGCTGGTCTGGTCTTGAAGACTACTTGACCTTGGTGATTAGACCCATCTGCCAGCACAATTTTGACTGCCTGAAATGTTTTGAAATTGGTAGTGATATACTATATGATCCGGTAAAAAATCACAACACTGGATCAGATTATTTTCTATATCCTCTCTGTGTACATTATGGGAATCATCCCAGAAAGAATGAGGGACAAAATGCCTGTTCCACAAAAAAACAAAAAAAAACTGTTTACAATACATTTGATTGTTTTACATACATTGTGAATTATGGCAGCACATGCTTTAATACTACACTTTTAAGGATTCCCATACATGTGGGTACATCCCTAAAAAATATTGATTTTTCAACATACCCTATCTTGTATAAGATATTAGAGTTTGAGGTAAAGGCACATGTACTTGCATGAATCCCTAATAGCTTAATTTTTTGGAGGCAATTAACTTTTCATTTTAACCCCCACCCCTAGACAAATACATGATGGTCCTCATGAAGCACTGTCCCCTTCCCTTGAAAAAGAAAGTACTTACACCACTATTTGCTGGACCTATGACATGTGCACAAGTAATGATAATTCCAGGAGTTTTGTTAACTATCACACCACTGCCCCAGCCACTGCCGCACTGTACTCCAACCACACAACTGTCCACAATCTTGGCAAAACCTGAAAAAAATATTTAGTTTTGGTCATTTATCATTACTGTATCCTATATCATTACCAATTTCCTTTTTAAAGACTTTTAATATAAATACAGAGATTATACACCACAGTAATAAAACAAGATATTTACCTTCATTCATGCTTTTCTTTAACATTTTCTCACACAACTGCAGAGACACAACACTGCTTTTATCGTCAAACATCAATGAGCTGATGCCATTTGAAACTTCATGAAGTTGCTTAGTAGACTGCTGATCTGACTCTACATTTTTAGTAAACTCTAGGCTGTTCTCTTCATGGAAGTCAGACTTCAAATGGTGCATTAAAACTGTAAGGATAGTACATGCAGATGCCACAAGTGTAAGCCCAAGCCATTCTCCTTGTCGCCAACAAAATGGGGAGATTACCAACCCGCAAAGATTTCTCCTGTAAAGCAGAAACCATGCAATTATCAGATCTATATTACAGCATATTTTGTAAGCTATGTGTTGACAAGGTATGCTTATCATCACTATAATCCAGTATCTTAAAACTCCTCAGGTAATGCTTATATATTTACCCTGATATTTGACAATAATCTCTATTTTCAAATAAATACCAGTGCTTACACCCTGATTTTGTTGGTTTAGACAGCATCATTGAAAATCATTAAAAAAAGTCTCTAAAAAAACTTCATTCCCTATGTTGTGATGAAAATTACACATGAAGTTAATAACTTACTTTTCATTATCAGAAAAGACTGGTGCTCCCTCTGAACCCATTATGCAACGAGCATCTGTTAACAGCACATCCCCATTCCTGCCACAGACATTACTGATGATGCCATAGCTTAGGGAATTCAGAAATACATCTGGAGACAAACTTCCAAATGGTGAACTCTCGACAAATACACCTGATCCTGTAAGGTTAAGGAAAAAGCCATATGAAACATTAGCCATGAGTTCTTAGTATATTGAAGAGAAACAAAACAGTGAAATAATATTTTCTCATTAATAAGTATTAAGAACAGGTATAGAATGGATATAAGAAGCAAACAACTGACTGTGCAGTTGGTGCTCAACTTTCATGAACCTGATTATCCATAAGATAAACCCTGTCATATCTTAAAATGTATGGGGAAAAAAAATGTATTTGGAATAATAATCCTGCTAATATAAGTAAAACCAGAAAAAATACTGCATTCTACAATCACAGTATTTTGAAAGAGTATCTATTCCTAATAATCTTAAAATGGTTATGATGGATATTTATGGTTTATGCATGAAAATTATTTTAGGAATGTTACGACTACAATACCATAACTGATGGATAACCTAATAATACTAGTGATTATTACATTTTCATTTAGAGAGATTTGGGAAGGTAACCCTAACACATATTAAGAGCCAACTGCATCAGCCACATAACAGAAAAATAAATACCTTTTTGACTCCTGGTTGTGATGTTTGCTATTTTTTTCACAGAAGATATCAAATCCGTAATGCTTGCTTTCCCCACCTCTTCCTGACCATTTTTCATTATTTTCAGAACTACAAAGGTTGAGAGAAGGATTCTTTCAAATTGAGTTGTAAGATTCTCATCTTTATCTTCTGTCAACTTCCACCCTTGAGAAGATGGCATGATGGTTGACAAGCTCTCTGTTATACCATCTTGGAGAAATACCATGGCAACAGATGCTGGATGGGAGGAATATCTAAGGGTTTTCTGCATCAAATTGTCGTTTGGTTTACTGGAATTTCTGGGTTTTTCCCAAATAGCTTTACCTCTTGAATGACTTGCACGAGTTCCATTTTCTGGTTCAGTTGAAGCTGCCGAACTGAGGAGGTACCTCTGATCATCAGAAGTGGTCTTTGGTGGGACTTGAAGTTCTTCTTTCACACTATTAATGTGTTCAGTGGGAATAATTATCTGGAATTCTGAACATGTTGCTTGGAAGGTTTCAGTTATCAAGCTTGCATCTTTTTCATAGTCTATAAAACCTTTCCTTAAGATTTCTTGGAGAAGGGCTTTACCCAATTTGTTCTTGATAACGTCAATGATAATTGTGCCATGTGTGAGAACAAACCCGTTCCCTAAATATACTCCTGAGCAGCTTAGATTATCTGAACTTGTAAATTTTGATCGTGAGAATTCTACAATTACACCAAAGCCTGCCATTATAACTTTCTTTTCAATGTTTGTTAATCAATAACTTAAATCATCTCTACATCAAAAAATCTTATTGTTCACTCACAATATACTACATACTCACTTTCACTTCCCATTTAATTTACATCACACTTTTCCATTTTACCATTCTAGTCACACTTCACAAAAGGGAATTTTTCACTCCTTTCAAGTAATTTGTTCATTATGCTACTATTTTAAGGCTTTCTCTTCTTCTTCCAATGCTTTCAATAACTCCTTTTCTTTCCTTTCGTGTAATTTTTTAATGCAGTCATCAATTTCCTGTAAGAAAATCAAAACAATAATATAAGTAGCCAATATATGATAAGACTACTATAAATCCCACACATAAAAAATACTAAAATAAAATACCAGGGCTACAGTTCCAGACACAGCACACAGAACGACTTATCACACACATTATTCCACAAGAACACAAGAACACAAAGCCACCAAAACTACGAAACCTTGGTGTGCATCTTATCAAGGGGAGGGTATAGTTCACGTCGCATCTTGACAATCCAATCTTCAAAATACTGAGGTTGATTGAAGAAGTAAAAGACAGCAACTGGGAAGGACATGTACATGGCCATCTTGCCTATTTCTAGTTTCCAACCACCCATGATGAATACCTGAAAATGAGACCGAATTTCAAAATCTTCTCTGTTTGGTTATAGCATAATTCATAACTATTAAACAAATGTATAGGTTGTGTTTTGACCTAAAAAAAATATCAGGGGCAAAAATTATCTGGTTAAAGAGGAAAAATCATCAAACAGAAATAACAGACAAGACCTCACTAGCCTACATAAAATCTCAGAAGACTTGGGTATGAGTGCTATTCATATGTATTTGCTATTGCTTTGGGTCAGTGGAAATATCAAAAGAGAGTGATGGCTACATACACAAGAACTTACTGGTTATGACTGTCACATTATAGAAATTACTTGTTTGTAAACCTTTGTGAAAAGTTGTTTAGGTGTGACAACATTTTACAAAGAATGCCCATTGCAATCATTAAGTCACTACTTTCTTACAAATATAAACTAAACATGTACTACACATAACATAAAGCTTGATCTCAATCTGTGATAAGGTATATATGGCCATATAGAATGTTTTGTTATTTCTGTTCCAATTCATATAATCAGTTTGTAGTAGCTAATCACAAAAAGCATTGACATCTAACAAACCATTTACTGGCCCTCTTTACGATAATTCTGTATATAATAGCTATCAAAACCTATTGTTCATTCAATTCAAAAAGTTTTTTTATGTCTGTGATTCAGAATGGACAGCAAATGCCCTGATGAAGTTTGAGGCCTCAAAATTTAGAAACTGAAACAATAATCTTTTGAATAAGGAGAGACTGTATTGTAGGGGGGTAACATTAACAGGGACGAATCTCCTGAGCCTGAAAGTAATGGTAATGTTCACATATATAACAAAAAGGAGTGTGGAGTCAAGCATGTATGAAGGGATTCACTATGATGTAGGTTTACCTTTACTAAGCAACATTTCTTGGCATTCAGAACCAGATTAGGTTGGCCTACTACACTGGTACTTATGTCAATTCACATGTGGTAAGTAGTAATTTCCTAAGTTGAATGACATAATACTGACCAGACCACATGCATGAAGAGCAGTCAATATACCCTTATTAGAAGGCTGGTAGATTGGGAGGTAATGGCTGACCTTACTCAACAAAAACCACTGAGCTCACCAAAAGAATTCTAGTATGACAGTGCTTAGATTGGTTCCTTATATCACTATAAAATGTCAGGAGGTCTGCACACTACACCCAGGTTGGTTTTGATCATGGTTATGAAAAGCAATTCTTTTCTCCATTTGACTAGTTCAATATTTTAGTATATGAAATCTATGTCCATCATAAACAGCACAAACTATTAATCATGAATTCAAGAACACTTTCCTCTATAGGTTTTGGGTCTGAAATAGAAGTTACACAATAAAGAAACACGTCATTATTCAACCTGGGAATGAGATGAAGTTCCCTAAACTTCATGGTCTCTGCAAAGGCCATCAAAATTGTACTGCCTATACTTGGCATGGGGTGCAGTCACTTTGTAAACAAATAATGATTTATCTTTTCAATACAGACATACAAAGCAAGGGGAAGTTAAATATGATATTCTTAAATTGGACAAAAGTTATAAAAGGATCGTGAGAAGCATCACTCACAGCCTGGGTCCACTTGCTGTTCCTGAGTTAGAGAGAGGGCTCTTAAATTGTTGAAAAACTGTGATAAGGAATTGGGAACTTAGTCTCTAGTGAGTGCATCCGTGAAGATTTAACCAATTACTGGCTGGACTTCATACTGTATGCTTTATACTGCAGATCATAAAGTTCTAAGGGGATTTAGATAAAACACATTCAATGTATCTACGAGGGTATTTTTTGGGAATACATCTGCCTAACGGATTGTGAAAATTTTGGTATCACTGAATTCCTCTCACTGTCTACAATGCATATATGTAGGTTTTATTGTATGGAAACCTCCCTAATCCCACATTCTTGGCCCTGATAGCAGGTGAGGCATGTAAGGTACCAAGGAAATTTTGGGGCAAAATATAAATGATATACACAGAATCAGTCACTATATTGTCTAATGCAGCCCAAGAAAACAAAGAATCCTCCACATATTCATGGTAGGAGAGAGTACGAGCGCCATACTCCCAAGTCTGTCTGATGCTCTCTCCTCCCGTGAATACATGGAGGATTCTCTGTTTTCCTGGGTGGAGATTGGGGGGTGG